CCAAATTTTCCACAAGTGAGTGCATTTCAATGTCTATGTCTCTTTGTTTACAGTGCATATGTATGCATGTATATATGAGTATGTAAATGCGTGTGTATATACATATTGTTCAGTTTTTGTGGCACTTTCAGTATAGTTTATTTTTTACTCAATTTCCCGATATTAGTTCTTTCGTACTAGTTTCATGATAGTTTCAAGTGAATTTTGTGTTATGACATATGCTGTAGTTATTTCTGTTATTTTCATTTATCCGTTCAATATTATTTGATGCTGTTAGTTCAGATTATTCATGGCCATTGCGCCATACGCTGTTCAAGTTTCTTGATACTTTCTGTTTGTTTTATTCTAGTTTTATTTTTGCTGTATTGCATGCATTTTTTTCATGTATTATGCTGAACTATAGGGGGCAGAGGCTCTGTCAGGCATTACGCCTTTATCTCTGCCCCCTATGCGGAAAAGTTATCCGCAAATCAAATAAAGAAAAAAAAAAAAAAAAGTCCCCGGGATTTCTCGCTCGCGCGAATACCGCCGTTTTAAAGGCGAGTTAAAGCTCTCTCTATCGTCCAAGATTTCGACTACGACCACCACGTCACTTCCCCCCGCCGAAAAAAGACGCGTTCACGCCGAAAAGCGCGTGTTCGCGTGTCTGTTGTGTGCCGAAGACGAGGGGGTCCGGCGCGCGGCAGGCCTCCTCGCGCGTCGACGGCGCTGGCTCGATTGTTACGCGACAGCGGCGACGCAAGGCCACGCAACGAAAGTGGGCAGGTGACGCTATCTCGCGGGGACACAATCCGACATGCATGAAAGGTCGGCAGACACGCGGTGTCGCTGAGGTCGACCCCGGGGAGCGACTCGAGCGAAGCCGACATTCGCATAAAGATGCCGGGGCGAAGCCTGAGTGGGTCGAACAATCGTAATTGATGGGCTGCGACTGCAATAAAGGGGACGTGTTCTCTCTCTCTCCGTTCTTCATCGGTGGCCGTGTAAGGGTTGCGCGTTCGCCTGTGCGCGGACTCTTCTCCAATTAACGAGGCGACGTGGGTCTAGCAGCGAGGCGTGTTTTACCTGCCGTCCTGTCGTTATAACCTCTCGATTGGGCTACTTTTGTTCCTTCCCCTAGGGCTGTAATTAGAGATGTCGCTCTTTTTTTATGCCACTTGGGGGTTCGACGTCAAACATCGGGGTTCGACTGGTTGGGCGAACCCACGAATTTTTAGCAAAGTCGACAAAATTGGACTTAGGGACGGTGTGCTCTGGCCCCTCTGACCTATGCAAAACCTCCATTTTTGGGAAAGAAATAGTGCATAAAGTATAATATGTTTTATATTTCATGAAATCATTACCAATGCGTGAACAATATAAAAGCAAAAATCATTATTTTGAATGTTGTAGTTTCGCAGTCATGACTTATATTCTTTTTTTTTTTTTTGTATCCTTGTTTCATTATGTTCTGTTTTGTACAATTCTTTCCTCCACTCGTGTCATAGGCCCGACGGAGTCGCAGTATTTAAAAATAAATAAATAATGAGAAAATATTTAAAAAGTGTACCTAACAAATATTGCGCTTTTGCTCCGCCAGGTGGCGTCAACTCGTTTTGAATTTTCGCGTATGCTGATAAAAGTCGAACTTCTGTCGAACCTGGCATTAGAAGTTCCTGAAAGTCGAAACTGGTCGACCTCAAACCTGGGCAGGTTTGCGACCATCGTTTGTAAATAAACTTGAGTCGAACTTCTGTTGGACTTGACATTAGAGTTTCGTAAAAGACGAAACTGGTTGACCTCGAACCTGGGCACGTTCGCAACAATCCCCAGTTGTAATTAGGGACGTCGCGGACGTTTGTCCACCCCGAGATTGCGAAGTGGCAAGAAATGACGCCACAAAAGCCGGAGTGTCATACGGTCGAATGTCGCGATCCTGGCGGTTATGCAAGAAGCTCCGGCCAAAAGCCCGAGCAGACGCGAGTGTCGCTGTCGTCACGGCGTCCCAACCCCTGGCTGCCGAAGCTTCCGTGGTCTGTCAATCTGGAGAGCGACCTGCAGCAGAACAGGCATCTGCCACACACACCACAGCTGTTGCAACGCCGCCAGGATCGCGGCCGGCGACAGCACGATACTTCTATGTGGTCATCGGGCGGAGATCTAGGGACAACTTTTGAGGACGCAATGAACACACCAATCGGAGACGCGCTCGAGGCACCCTACCTGGAGATTGATTTTTGAACACTGTCACCCTTCTTCTACGCATACATCGCAAAATCTTGGGGAAAAAATAATTCCGATAATAGTCTGCTTCATTAATTTGGGCAATATAAAAACAAACATATACATTTTAATGATTTAATTTGTTTATTCATCTCGAACAATAGACGCGATAAATATTGCGCGCCCCCTACCACAGGTGGCGGCGGTAACCTATTTTCAATTTCGGCACATGCGCACTTCGCTCGAACTTTCTTCGATTGGTTCCATTCGTCGAACGACGACGCTAAGAATGTGTTTTGACACGCTCGGTGGCACAACAGCGCACTGGCTGCTTTTTAGAGGTCTCAACATATTACGAGCTTTGCCGTTGGCCGAGCTCCCCCTGTTGCGCACAGAGTGCGCTCGAAGAGAAAAACGAACAATGCTGTATGCTTCGGTCAAACGATTTGACTTGAACTGACTGCCTGTTTCTCTACTTTTCGTGGCAGTCCCCAGCCGTCATGTCCACGCGCACACGAGGAAGGAAGCTTTAGTCCCACTTTGTGACAGCCTCCAGCTATCGGCTGTCCCGGGTGCTTTGCGGAAAAGTTGACGCTCCAGGTCTCTTACGAGTGTAGGTCGGATGAAAAGTGAAAACGTACTGACCCTGGAACGTGGACTGCGCCGCGACACGGAGAGGTTTTAAAAGTGTAGTGTTGTTGTACACATCGCATCTTCGAGTCATAATGTCATTCGGGACATTGTCATTTGCTGAAATTCCTTCGTTTGTTTGTAGCGGTCCGCTTTCTGCGACGTGCTACGCTATAGATATTAGAGCTGGAGGCAATTTTCTAAAGAGGAGTCATGTCGAAGGCAAGGCGCGAAAGCATCCACTCGAAGTTGCCGGAAAACGGTCGGACGTCCATTCATTCAGTTTCCCGGCGAATCACCCGAAGGAAAAAGAGACCTTTCCTTTTATCCCCGCAATGCACGTGTCTGGCAGGGAAGACAACACGCAAGGTGGTGCCGCGCGATATATGTAGGACAGCGTCTTAAAATTGCCATCCAAGGTACAGGCTGGCTGAACACGTTTCCTGGCAGCGCTAACGATACACCATACAAAAGACAGTGCGTCTTCCTTCCTTGTATGGCGGTCCTCTGGCACTAGTCGTTCAGAAAATGTCTCCAGAAGTGTCCGAGGCAAGCGTGCCTCAAAGATACTTCAAAAGCCTCCGCAGATAATTCTGTCAGTCTGCGGAGAAACTACGTGTCTTCTTGCATGATGTATAAGCAGCATGACTTGGGGTTTATGCAATCAATAGAAACAACGATTGTAAGACAAAATGAAAGGGACAAAAACGCGAAACTACAAAGAGGAGGAAAATATATATCGGGTTTGGGGGGGGGGGGGGGGGGGGGGGTATCTGAGAAGGTACGTTCGAGTATGTTATGGAACCAACCCCCCCCCCCCCCCCCCAAAAAAAAAAAAAAGGTGTCTGACAAATTGTCATTAACGTTGCCAGTGGTGTTGTGCCCCTCCCCACCCAACCTACGGTTTCTCTCATGGTGGTCGGAAAGTGTCCGGATGAAAGAAGAGATGGGCAAGAGGTGGTTCCTTGTCGTTGTGTCGTGGCTACAAAGGACACGGTCCCGCCTCTGGTTAGTGAACAACATTTAAAAAAAAAATACGAAAAAACGGTGGCAATTTTCTCGCACAAAAGCCACTCAATTCCATCCTCCCACCCTCTTTCAAAAAAAAAGAAAAAAGAAACCAGAACAACAGTAGCAGCCTTCCTGAGCCTTGCAGGAAAGCCAAGCGGCGTGTCAACCCCCTCCCTCTTCCTTTAACCCCCTGCCCCCTCGGCGCCACGTTCTATACGGTTCCCCATTCCGGCTTTCCAGGTAATCCAGCGGACCCGCACCGAAGGGCCCTCTGGAAGAACGCCGACGGGCCCAGGTGCTCGCACGGCAGGCCGACGGCCACAGCAGCAAGCAGCCCGCAGGCGGGCGAGACCTGTGCCTGCCAGAGAAGAAGAGAGCACCGGGGGAAAAAAAGAAGCAACGAGAACAACAACAACAGTACAACAGGCGCGCTCTTTTCCAAGGGAGCGGCACACTCACAGCCCACCGCTCTGCAGAACTCTCTCTCCAGGAGGGGCACACACACACACAGGCGGCCGGCAGCAGCGCATTCCAGCGCCTTCATCCGCGGGCGGTGCTGCTGCCGCTTGCTGGTGGTGCTGCTTAGTCGAGCTGCCATCCCGCTGAGAGCAGAGGGGAAGGAGGACCCCCCCCCCCCCTCTACGTTTTCGGTCGGGGGGACCCTCTCGGAGGGTCCGTGACGTCACAGGTCCCTTCCCCCTGCCTGCTGCTGGCCTGCCTCTGGAATGCAGTCTCGCTGGAGCAGGTTTTTCGTTCTCGCGCGCTCCCCCCTCTTCGACAGCGAGCGAGTGAGGCAAGCTAGCACGCCGCCGCCGCCGACGACGACGACCCGCGAACGGTGGTGAGCCAAGAACGCAGTGCCAAGATGAGGGCTCAGGGCCTGGTACAACAGCCCCTAGCAGGACCCCGGCTCTCCGCCCAGGAGCCCGGAGGATGACGCCTGACGACCGCGAGACACGGCAACGACCAGCATCATGAAGTCTTCGACGGGGAGCAGTGTCGACGACGACGGCAGGCCGCCCCGCTCTCGGCGGCGGCCGCCGTGGACGATGTCGTTTCCCCTGCTCCTGATGTTACTCCTCCTACCCGAATGCGACGGCGCGGAGGCCGCGGAGTCCGCGCTGCGTCGCGGCTCCGACCGTGGCCCGCTGGTGCCCATGCAGTCCAGACAACCGGACACGCGCGTGCTCCTGGAACTGGAAGAAGGGAAGCCGGTGGGGACGCTGGTGGGCCACATCCCGACCAGGGACAACTTCACGTACCGCTTCAACGAACCGCCTGCCGAGTTAACGTTGGACCCGGTGTCCGGGGCCATCAGGACGGCGGTGGTGATCGACAGGGAGTCGCTCGCGAGTGATCGTTTCGACCTGGTGGTGTTAAGTAGCCAGCCCACGTACCCGATCGAAGTGAGGCTGCGTGTGTTGGACGTGAACGACAACGCTCCCGTGTTCCCGGAGGCTAGCCTCGCTGTCGCCTTCTCTGAAGAGGCCAACGTGGGCACCAGGGTGATCTTGGACACGGCGAGTGACGGAGACGCCGGATCCAACGGCCTCAGCACCGACTATCGAATCGTGGCCGGCAATGAGGACGCCAGGTAAGACTCACTATTTTAAGACATGTCACTTTCACATGCGATTGTCATGTTATGGCATGTCTGCGTGCTGCCGTGCGCCAGGCAATTGAGCCATGACACTTCACGATCCGAGCATTTATTAGGGTATCCAGGGGGCGTTGTTGTTTACACATGTCTGTCACAAGGTCCGCTACCATTTTGTCAAGTGACGCGTGACTGCACATGACATTTTGTCTCTCCTGCACATGCTCAAAAGTCAATCACGACCACCACGTATGCCCACATGCATGAGTTCAATTTATTAGGAGATGGTATCATATCATGCATCTGTCGTAATAATCGTGTCGTAGAGACAAGTTCTCGCTCGTATGCACCTCGTTCGCAGTCTACACTGTCGGATTAATCAGAATTATACATTCATTCTTTGTCATTTAATTATGTTTATAAATTTGAATGACATTTAAAGTTTAAAAAAAATCTACTAAGGTTCGTACCGGCGCGCCTATCACTCTACGCCACTCAGTCGTTGCATCTTACACAGAATTGTTTGCACAAAATTGTGTAAAGTATATTGCTATGTCATGTGACGTCCGAGTATGGTGCCCTACGTACACCTAAAACCGTTCTTTATTCATGCACGTAACAACCCGTGTGTTTTTCTATCACTCTGAAAATGTATCCAATGATATAACAAAACGTGCCTAATTTTCTCATGCTATTGTTTAAAAACAAAAAATTTTGCTTATGCTTCGTCACAAGTTAAGAGCCCACAGGGTGCTCCTCCTCGAGCGAGCTTCCACCTTTGAAAGCACTAGTCGCACGCACAGCCAAAACCTGTGGGAAGGCAAGAAGCGCGTGCTGGCAGCGGTGCCTCGACATATTCTTAACATCTGTCAACGACTATAAGTGGCATTGCTTCATGACACTGCACTGAATATTCTCATACATCCCAATTCAATCAAACAGGTATACAAGGTCCTGTTACTGCTATACATGAACGTACCACACTGCCATGCTCGTACTCATGGGTGGCAAGCAATGTTTGCTCGATCTCCTGACATTTGTGGCACGTTGATCAGATAGTCATCCAGCATGTACGCCCAGTCAAGACACAGCAAAGGACAGTTGTTTCATGTTGGCGGCAGGGCATCTGAGTGCTCCTCTCTGACTTTTCTATTTTACAAGTGACACCATGGTCACTGAGAGCTTCAGAATGGCATAGAAATCTTCCAATAGCCTTAAGTCCAGAGCGAGATACATTGCTCTCGTTTCGCGGGAGCTTCGAGCCTCTACGCACAGTCGAGACATTACAAACGACAGCGACCTTGCGTTGGCTTTCCAAAGATACTAATCTGGTCACAAAATACGGTCACTAAGAGGTTCAGAGCGTCACACGGGTCTTCAAGAAACCGCCAAAAACAGCAGCCTGCGCTGAATGCTGAACACTGGGTGCTCTTTCCTGAGATTCCTAACCAAGCGCTTACTGCGATTACCGAAAAAGCTTCGGAGACACATAAAAGTCTTTCAGTGGTCCTAAATGCAGCCTGAGATGCCTTGGTCAGGTGTTGCGGCTGCATGCATTCGCGGTCCAGGCACCAGTGAGGACAGCGCCTTGCCTGCACTTGCTTGACAAACATCCCTCTCTAACCACTGACTGACCACGGTTCCTCAGCGGCTCAGATTGGCATCGGGGTTTTCAAGACACTTCATAGGACCAGACCTGTGCTGAAGGCAGAAAGTATAAATAATGCTCCTCGTTGAGCTCCCTCTCTAGTGGGTCACCGTGGTCACTGAGAGCTAGAGTGACATAGATGTCTTCGAGCTGTCCTAGATCCAGAGACGTCGCGGGAATTTTGGGCATCCACTTGAGACACTACAAAGGACAAAGGGTTCATGTCGCTGGAAGGGCGACAGAACCCGTCCTTCCTCCGACCCTTATATCTTTAAAGATGTCAGGACTCAGGAGACCGTAGTTATCCGGCCATTTGGAGCGTCCGACAGGAGCAACCCTTGTCCCATGGTTGGAACGTCCTTGATCATCGAGTCACGCAGCACAACTCTCGAGTGGGTGAGAGGGTGCGAGAAGCTCGATCCATTCTAGAGGCGTTGATGAGCCTGATCTGGTTTTGCCGCTCCTATGCTCTTCCGTTTGACGAAACGTCGGTTCCGCTTTTTTGATGATCTGATCATATCTTGTTTTGTTTTATTTTTATGTCGACACAAGCTATGTGCGTCAATCCGCTTGAACGGTCATAACTATATATAGATGTCGCACGCAGACTCTTGGCGAACCCTGAGATTCTACTGGTTCAGGGAACTCTTCGAACTCTCTGCAAAATCTCGACGAAGTTAAACTTCTTTTAAACTCTGTTTCACAAAGACCTATTCTAAAAAATGAAAAGTTATCCAGCTAAAAAAGATTATGCAATTAAGAAACAAAGGGCATGGCGAGTTGGAAGCGTCTCATTATCTCTCCGCAGCCAATGAGACGGCAGCATTTGATAATAAGAACACCAAAGAACCAATCACGTAGCAGGAATCGTGAGCAGGAACGTGACGTCACTGGCGTGGCGCTGTTGTCGGAACTGCGCTTGCACAGATGCTTCACTCAGTCCCCCGGATCTGGTTGTGTCCATGTCGCGTAAGCGAACCACGTTTTAACCAACAGTGTTCATTTGAGAAAATCGACGTTTTGGCGAATGGTTTGTATCACTGGGACGCGTGTTAACCCACCTGGCCTATCCCGAGCTTGGATATAATTTTATATGCACCAAAGATCTGAATCCAATAAATACAAAGTTACTCCCCTCCGAATGTTTCGTCACTAATATCGACGCCCGCAAAACATGTCACCTGATACGGCAAACAAGCAGTGTTACCATTGCCAAAGCGCAAAATCATTGTCAAAAAAGAGAAGAAGAAAGAAAAAAACTCGTCACGCAACTTCTATAATCTAAAAAAGAAAAAAAGAAAACTCGGAGCGAGGCATTCGAGGACACGAGATAAAAGCACTTCGATTATGATAATTTCATTCGCTTTTCTTTCACGGCATGCGCGCCGTTCAGAAACGCCTTGGATTCTTCTCAGTCCGGTCAGGAAGAATATTGCGACGAGTGAAACACGCCGTACGCCACAAAACGCATTAAATACGCAGCAAAAAAAAAAAAAAAAAAAAATCTAACCGTGATATTGACAATATTTTATGCGATCATAAGTTGAGCGATTACCTGATTGGACCTTAAAACACGATCGGTTTTGTTTTTCTCTACAAGATGCGATACTGCACTTGCGGGTGACACATTTCAATGCCGAAAGGAATTGCGCCACGCTGAAACGAGCGATGAACTTGAAGAAACAAAGCATTACGTGCGTGCGTCTGTTTTCTTGGCGTCAAGCCACGCGTTCTTGTCTATTTCTCTTTCTTTTCTTTCTTTTTACTTTTAGATTTCTGAAGTAACGGTCCATGGAACGAGGCCAAAAAACAAGCTATAAAACGAGCCGTGGAGAAAGTTATATAACTTTTTCTTCGGAGCTTGTTTCGAGTACGGAAGCCTTGTGAAGCTTAAAAGTTTTTCTGGTCACGATCTCCTGTTTCCATTTAGGAAACCTTACGCAACAAACCATCCCAAGCTTTTCTTGTTATTCGGCAGCCGTGTGCCGCGGTGCGCGAGACCTGCTGAACATCACAAAATTCAAATCTAACGCCACCTGCCAGTGAGTGTGGGCGTCTAATGATCCCTACATTTCGCCCAGTAACAACTGCGAGTTTGGTGGCGAATTGTGCACAACGTACGTCAAGAAAAGTCCGTCGTCTCCGAGGTCTCGTGAAGGCATTTTGCGAATCGTGTGATCATGTTTCAGCCAATACGAAGGCCAGGTATACAGACGCGTGACGTCTGTATACGCTATCTAGTATTTACAGACACGACGCTGCACAGTCGTTTCTACGCCTATCCCGCATTAACCGTCATGAAGCTGAGCGAGAGCTGAAGCCGCAAAAGAGAGCCCAGGAAACATTCTTCGGTTCGATATTTCCGCCCTTGCCCGTTTCCGTCCGAATAAGCATCGTACTGGTGTGCGATCGTATACATAACCACTCCTGCGTGATGCGCATCGAATACCCCGTGTCAGCGTGTAGTATACTAGACAGGTAAAATGTCTCGTCTGCAACGGCGACACCAGACGTCACTTCAAGGCAGACTAACAGTCCACTGTCTGACGTTGTCAAGGTTATAAGGGTCATCGGCAGAATGAGAACGACGGAGTGCCTTCCGTCGTGCTTTGGTTGCGTGTGCACTTTCGAGGCTCGCGCGATACGCCAAAGCGTTGTCGAAGGCGGAAAGCTCGGGAGAACCGAAAAACCTCCCTGGCGTTGTCATCCTGTCAGTGACTTCGGTGATCACAAAATGTAAATTATGATGCAGGGAGGAGGGGGGAAAAGGTGATTCATCTGGATGGTCAAACGAAGGAGCATATCCGGACCACAAGTTCGTCTGCTTCTTTTGCAGAGGTTGAGGTGACGTCAGAATGTCCAGCTGTGATTGGTTCTGAATGAAGGATAGTGGGTAGGCCTTAAGGCAGCTTGCTTTGAAATCTACCCACTATCTTTCAATATGAACCAATCAGAGTTTGACGTGTTTCTAACGTCACGCAGCTCTTGTGCATGAAGCAGACGACTTGCTCTCTGAATTGACTTGGTTTGTCCAGTCACTTAACCTTACGATGAACCTGCAGAGGACGATACAAATTCATCGAACACGGTCCAACGTGATTGTCAGGTGACCTGAGGTTCATCGTAAGATTAAAAACGTATCGAGCATATAGTTCGACGTAAACAAGCGATGGTATAGCAGCCATATTACCAAAGACACCGCACCGACTATCGCGGACTCTGAGCTTGGCCGTCTGGCTGGCGGCTCCCTCTCCTTTTTCTCGGCACTGCCTGTCTTGGAGGAAATCCGATGCCCGAGCCGCCGGCCTTCCGTCGCGCCTCAATGGCGCCAGGTGTTGGAATCCCCGCG